CTATATCATACATTCCCAATAGCCCCAATAGTAATTAATCCATCTCTCGAGATTTATATTTAATTCCCAGTAATCCTATTTTTTTGTTTAAATGTATTAACAAATTATTTTCCACAATTCTCAAAAAAAAAATAAAAAAAAATATATATATTTTACACATATTTCACGTGTTAGTCGCCTTTCACTCTAAAACCTCCAGTAAAACCCCACGCCAAATACACTTCACAACCTCCAAATCCAAAATTCCATGGCCGCCGCCGCCACCACCGCCGCCGCAGTAACAAAAAACGGCCTTCTCAAAATCCACCGCCACCGCCACTCCCTCCGCTGTTCCTGGCAAAAAACACGCAGCCAACACTCCATACCCCATCCTCCGCCGCCACCGCCGGCGAGCATCGGCAATCAACTCCAACAAACCAGATGGTGCTCCCGCTTCCCACATTCCACCTCACAGAAAACCGCCACGGTAATATCATCTTCCATTCCCCACTCTCCTAACTCCGGCGTGATCGGCTGGTACTTGTCCATGATCAAGCACCGCCCAATCGCCACCAAAAGCATCACCTCCGCCCTCATTTACACCGCCGCCGATCTATCCTCTCAGGTAATTCGAAAATCAAATACCCCCATTTCCCCTCTTTTTTCCTTCTCGTAAGGGTATAAACGTAATTTACACAAATCGTTCAAATTTTTTTTTTTTTTTGGTGAAGACGATTACAGGGGGAGATTCAAATTCAGATTCAAACTCATCTGGCTATGATTTGGTGCGGACTTTGCGAATGGCTGGATACGGGATGTTAATAATAGGCCCTTCGTTGCATTACTGGTTCAATTTCGTATCTCGTGTTTTCCCGAAACGCGATCTCTTCTCCACTTTCACGAAAATGGTGTTAGGGCAGATGGTATATGGCCCTACTGTAACTGCATTGTTCTTCTCTCTCAATGCTGCTTTACAAGGTATGTTTAGAAAACACGAGATGCGATCTCATAAACTTCGTTCGTAGCTTATTGAACGAAAATATATGTTCAAACTTGGCTACTAAGTATGTTGAAGAAACTGCTTTTAACAAATCCAATTTAGTAGCTTGATTTGATTTTCAGCCGTATTCTGAGTAAATAGTATATATATATATATATATATGTATGTATGTGTGTGTGTGTGTGTGTGTGCGCGCGCGCGAGCGCGTTTCTTGGGTTGTTTTCATGAATCATGAGTTTATTGCACATTTAGTACTCGTGTGTTATATGGAATTGCTAAAAAAAATCCACGTGTTATAAATATCAGGAGTTTTTAGGGGTATTTTTGTCCAAAAAATGCATCATAGGAGGTTTTTACTAATATTTATAATAGGAGGTTTTTTTAGAAATTAAGCTAAACACAGGGGTATTGAATGCAATAATAAACCCTTGTTTTCATGTTCAATTTAAGGAATGGGAATATAATTGCAATATTTGCTGTTTAGCTGAACATTACTAATGTTTGAACATTGCCTTTTCATTTTGAGGAACTGAGTTTAATCAGTTATTTATTTATTTTTTCATTTTTTTTTTTTGCAATTTTCTTATTTTCATCCGAGATATAACTTGAGCTTATAATTCTCAGGTGAAAGTGGTTCCGAAATTATTGGTCGATTGAAACGTGATTTAGTACCTACACTGAAAAGTGGCGTTATGTACTGGCCGATATGCGATTTTGTGACGTTCAGATTCGTCCCCGTACATTTACAGGTGAGATAAATCGTATATTGCTTTCTCCATAAATGAAACTTTCGTAAATATTTTACGCATACAGAATTAGAAGAATGATTTTAATTTTTTTATAATGTGGATTTGATTTTTTTTTTTGGGCAGCCTTTGGTGAGCAACTCATTTTCATACCTATGGACGGTTTATCTAACTTACATGGCAAGCTTGTCGAAAGTTAGTACGAGTTGAGATCGTTTATCGACCACTAAACACACGCCACCTAGCATGGCATCTTCATTTTATCCCGTTAGAGTCGGGATTCGTTTTATTCACCAGAATTACATGATGTAACTAGCTTTTTTTTCTTTTCTTCCTTTTATTCTAATTATTGAAGTAATGACAATTTACATGGTGAAAAATTAACTGATCCGATTTCCGCCAATTCCAATACAAAATTTACTTAATTAAATCTTATTTGAACTCAATGATTGACGATCCAACGATAATAGATAACAGTACAATATCGAGAGATTTCGACCAAAAAAAATGAACATATATTTCAAAGATAGGAAAGCAGAGCCACATTCATTTTATTTGTTCTCTTGAAATACAACTACAAAAATAATAAACAATCTAGAAAGTATCTATCCACCCTCGAAATTGGAATACAACTACAAAAATAGTAAACAATCTAGAAAGTATATATCCACCCTCGGAAAAAAAGTAAAAGTCTATTGCACATAGTTGTAATAATAGACTATATGAGATGTTAAAACTACATCAAATGTGTAAAAAGAATTGCATGTGTAGTATATCAGTATATGTATGTGTTCCCTTTCTACCAACTAAAGTACCCGTTGACTCGTTTCTGCAGCCGATACTTCCGAAGAATAATACTACGCCAAAAATGGCTCAGTTTCATCCTATAAGTTACTCCCACATTCTCTAGTTTAATATAGGGTTTATTGCATTCAGACACCCCTCTTGATTTCTCTAATTGCTACAAAACTCCCAATGTTATTTTATCGGCAAAAACTCCCCTTTAATTCAAGTTTTTTAAGCAAACTACTCCCTAAAAACTCACTCTTTAGGAGATTGTATACTTAAAAAAAAAAAGAATTATAAAGGGTTTTTTTTGCTAATATTTATAAGACGAGGAGGATTTATATAATAAAGGGGTACTGGATGCAATAAACTCACTTGTTTTAATGTAAGTCATAAATTGCAGATCTTTTCGAGTTGAACCGACCGGTCTTCTCCAAGTATAGAAGGTTTCGACTCCACGGCAACACGAAAATCCACCATACTCGCGTAATTATTAACAAACTGTAATAAATTAGATTGCCTCCCAACACTGGCATTTCTTGATCCGGCAATACCAATACAACGCTCGATTATCCTCTTCATATACGAATCCAAACCACGGTTCAAACAATCGGCACCCTCCGAGGAAATCCCAATGCCTTCCGATTCCAAGTTCTTCTCCAAAACGCCCCTCAATGTTTCCGTTTCGGGCAATTCACCCCTATGTCTACAACTCCCGTAAAAAGAAACAGATTTACGAGGCTTGTTAAGAACCCCGAAAGGGGCTTCAATAGAACTCCATCTAATCACATTCGAGACTCCATTAACCTCTTCTTCGCCTTCTTCATCGATTCTTGAAAACGTTTCTTCAACCGTTAATGTACTAGGGCTTTTTCCAAACGGGCCAAGTGGGCTGGGGCGATCTCGTAGTTTCCTACTCAGAGGAGATTGCATGCAGTTCTTCTTGTAACTGTTTGGGAACTTAACTCCGATTTTTCGAGGGTTTTGAGGTGGGGTTTTGGCATGAGAAGCATTTTGAACAATGGATCGGATAAGTCGATTGTGGAGAGAGATGTTTTCCCGACCGATCGTTTCGATGCAGCATTTGTCGAAATCGCACTTGCTTAGTTTCAAATTCAAGAATCTGTTTAGGTTATTGAAGTACTTGTCGGCTCTTTGATGTCCGATTCTGTTGTAGATAACATCTCTGAGCTCTAATGTGTCGACACGCGTAAAATGCTCGTTGAACTTGGCTCCCATTCTTTCCTGTTTAAGCTCTGCTACACAATCAAATACCAGATCCAATTAGTACTTACTTAAATGCGTAAATATATCGTTTTTTTATTGATCAATCATCTATTCTACGAGTGGATCGGTGTTCAATTGAAGTCTGCAACAATTCTTTCTGTCCTATTAACAAGAAAAACAAAAATAAAGATTCAATTTTTACTGTTTAGGAAGTTGTACTAAGATTCAACTTTCAAAATCAAATAGTAAATAGACGACCCATCGAAAAATCAACTTCAGAAAATAAAAAAAATAAAAAATAAATCGGATAATTTTTATTTTTTTACAGTAATTGATCAATCAAACAAAAACCCAGAAACCAAAATGTAATAATCTAGAGAGAGAAAGCTCCACAGATACTCAGATAAACCCAATTCACGATTCGACGACGAACACACACAAATAAAAAAAATTAAAAAAAAATAAATAAATAAAAACAAAAATCCAGTAATTGAATTGAATAGTGAGATGGGATTTAAAGAAGGAAAGACGGGAATTCACCTGGGTTTTCGAAGAATAGGGTTTTCGAGCAGCGTGGATTTTGACTTGTTTGATCGGTGTGCTTAATTTTGTTTGTGAGTTGAATTTTGACTCTGAAGAAAAATCTAAATTAAGTGAGAGCCTGCTCTAAATTATCCTTTTTTGGTTAGTTATTAGTTTCACAAGTACGCTTTTCTTTCTCGTACTGAGGTTTGTTATACTTTTCTTTTATTTATTTTTGGAAGTCGTACTGAGGTTTGTTCTAGTTCGGGTAAGGCCGTGTTTGGATGACAAACAGCTTATTAGTGATGACCATGTAATTAAGCACTACTCAAAGGGAAGGGATATATATTTTGACTTTTTTTTTTCTTTTTTCTTTTTTCTTTTTTCTTTTTTTAATTTTAAGTAGTCAACTTTGGTTTAAACTATGGATAAGTTAGTTAAATATGATGAGTTTCAGAGTTTCAGTGGCGGATATAGCATACGGTCGTGGGGTTTCAACTCCGTTCGTTATTTCTCGAAATAATTTTTACTATTCTATATATGAATTAATTTACTTTTGAGCACTGTAATATTGTTGCGCCTCCCCTAACTTTTAATGTTAATCTAGTGTTCGCAACAACAATACTTTAGGTAGATGGGAATTATACTTTTTTTGCTGAATTCTCCGAGTTTGAGCTCCTATTAATCTAAATATAGAAATTCTAAGATCATTTCACGCAAGTTGGTACCTTTTTAAGAAGGTTTTTGTTACTAATGTGAACATCGATTTTTGGGAAATATCGTAATCAATCTAGTAAAATGGCGAGATACAACATATGGTCATTGGGTTACAATTGCGTTGTTTCTCAATATTTGTAGTTTTTTATATGGAAAATTATTCAGTTTCGAGTACCATACTATTGTCGGTCCCCCCTAATTTTTATTGTAAATCTAGTGCTCGCGACAACAATATTTTAGGGAGACGAATATTATAAACTTTCTCGTGAATACTCCGAGTTTGAGCTCCTATTAACCTAAATATAGAAATTCTAAAAGTGATTTAACTTTTTTTTTTGATCAACTAAAAGTGATTAACTCAAGTTGGTACCTTTATATAAGAAGGTTTTTGGTACTAACACGAACTTCGGTTTTCGGGAAATATCATAATCATCTAATAAAAAGGGTTTCCATTTGAAGTCCGATCGATTCTAACAATTGATTGTTACTTTTGTATGGAAGATTGAGACGTTAGAACTACTCACGATTCTCGAATATATTTATTTTCGTAGATTGTTAAACAGGTTATTTCTACTATTTATAATAATTTATAATACTATTAGGAATTCTCTTAAGTGGTTCGGAACCCCTTGGCAACGGGGTCGGGTGAGTGATTATGGGTTCGAATCCTTTCGAGTAATTACCAAAATACCAAAACAATCGGCAAAGGTTATATTCATATGCAACTTTGTCCACCATACATTAAAAAAAAAAAAAGACCGTAAAAATTCATAGAACAGGTTGAATCAGTCCATCGATCGAAATGGAGGCGGTTGACCAAATTTTAATAAATACGCAGTTTCATAAGCAGGGCGCAGAGGCACAATCGCTTGAACATCGAGATAAGCATCACATGAGAAACACCACACCGAAAGATCACTGTTTCGAGTAAACAAAAAATAATCAGAACAAAAAGAAGAAAAAAAACCCGTAAAGGAAAATCGAGAAACAATATTATAATTCATTACCTGTAGCTAAGAGCCAAGTTATGTTGTTGGTGTTGATAATGCTGTAGCATGTGCTTGTTCACAAAACGGCTGCACAGAACTTCTTTACAGCACAAGCACAACCAATTCTCCTTTGGATGTTCACACCTTCGTTGCGTAACCACAGTAAATTTGTAAATCGAACGAAGAAAAATGCGAAAAACTCACAAAATTGAATAAAAATCAAGAAAACTTTTCAAACTCAAGGGTCGAAATGAACGGATAGCACGGAACACCAGTTGTTTAGAAAATGTTCGTCTTAACTTACATTCGAAAACACTGCGGAAACTACATCGGAAAATATTAAAAAGAGACGGATTGAAAAAAGGTCGAAACTTGAAACGAAGATTTTGATAGTGATCTCGTTTCCCCATATTTACATGTGCATACACCACTGGATTTAGATCAACAACTATAACTTGAGCTAACCAATTTCTCTATTCTCTAATCTTCTATTAATTGTACAAATTCCATAATTAAAAATTAAAAAAATCCAATATTAATTAAAATTGCTCATTCACATAGCAAGCAAAATGTGATCTTTGAAGTGATTTTTTGCCTTTACCGCTGAATATTAATTCACACCATTTACTAATCTACCAAATTGTTAACAAGTAAACTGAAATGTGAAAATCCCTCAAAAAAAAAGAAGAGAGATTTAGGGTTTAGGGTTTCGTCAAAATCACTGATCGACCACACTGTAATTCAATAATTCTAATTTTATTTATTTTTAAATAAAACCAACATCGATGAATGCCATTGTTGTGAACGAAGAGTAGTCATAAGAAAGAGTACCTGCTGCAAGATGTGTTGGGTGTTGGGATGTGAATCAGATCGGGCGACAATGAATCCAAATGGTCGCAGTGTGTTCGGGCCTCGACCCAGCCCGATTCGGATCCGTCTAATATCAATTCATCGTCTTCGCGGTTGATCTTCTGCATAGAGGACGATGAAGAAGAAGAAGCGTTTTTCGCCATTGATGGACTCTGGTTCAGTGAAATTTCAATTAATTCACATTTCACATTACATTATGTAGATTAAAAGACACTTATACCCTTACACTAAAATCTTTAATTACCATTTCCGTCTCAGAATTACATATTATAGGGAAAATTACACTTTTCACCCCTTAAGTTTGCATCAATTTCACATTTGGCCCTCTTGTTCAGAAAAATGACATTTTGTTTCAATAATTTAACATTTTTGGTCATTTCCGTCATTTTACCATTAACTCGCAGTGATGGGCACACGCTTAAGGGATGAAAATTTTATTTTTCTCCGTGTCTGTTTTCCCTATTTCCCCGTGTCCGTGCTACATAGTATAACTCATGACTTGCATTAATTTCTTCTAAGTTGTGGTGTACATTAATTTTAGGGCAAATTACGACCACCCCATGAGTTATGGTCAAATTACGAAATCCTCCTGTTTGGGTAATTACAGTAGCCTCCTCAATTATGTATTGTGTTACGAAAAAATCCCTCCAAATGTAAATTTAGGGATGTTAAATTGCTAAAACCGAAACGAGATTTCGGTATGCCAACATTCTGAATATAAGATTTGGTTCGGTAAATAACCGAGTTACATAAAATTTATGTAAAAGTATTTAAAAGAAGAGGCAGCTGTAATTATCCAAACAAGAGTGATTTTTTCATAATTTGACTATACCTCGTAATTGGGCTGAAAATTGTATTCCTTATAAAGCCCGCCCAATTCATTTCCCAAAATCTGCAATTTCCGGCTCATATAATATAACAAATATGAGTGACGTGTCATTTGCATAATTTTCTCTTTCTCAAAACCCTATAAACCGCCGCCCACTCCCACCGGAACGCCGCCCACTCCCACCGGAACGCCGCCGCCCACTTCTCCTCCTCCTAATTTCTATGGAGGCTAGTGAAATTCCGGCAACCGCGGGTATTAAATCAGCCATCAAAGTGGAACCCTTGCCTGCAATCAACGGGATTCCGACGGCTGCTAACGTGGCCGAAGAGACGCGTCGGATGATTCAGATCCACATTGCTCAAGCGATGAGCAACGGTACATCAATGGATCCCTCCGCATACGGCGATTCAATTGTTCGCCATTTCAAGGTTGTCGGATCATCATCAGGCATGCTCACTACCGATAGCATTGCACAAGTTATCCACAACCTAACCGAAAACATAACACAACAGATATCTGCAGGCCACAAAAATAATCCAGAGCAAAATCCAGACGTTCAAAAAGAGTTGCAAAATCTCAGGCGAGAGGTTCACCTTCTCAGGCAAGACGTTTATGGCCTTGCCGCCCGCCTTAGCGCAAGCAACGCCCGGCTCTACAACAGCCGTTTTGCCGAGTCTGGAAAAGTCCAGTACGAAACCGTTGTCAAGCACACAGCCGGTCATCCATTTCCCAATCCGCCTGCCTTTCCAAATTTTCAACTCGCTAGTTATTACGATGTTAGTGCCCAACCACCGGTTGGTCTGCTCCTATCAACTCGGGACGTGCTGCGATAGATGATTATTGGTCAACTTTATGTAATTCGACCCAGGTTGCGTGCGATATACGTTGCGTGCGATATACTGGTTCTACAACGATTCGTGGCTCGCGTTGGATGAATTAAGATGCTGATCTAGCTGCCTGCAACAGATTTCTCGTAGCTTTGGAGGAATTTCTTAAACTTTCGTGAACATCTGTAAGTATACTCTCTCTCTCTCTCTCTCTCTCTCTCTCTTTTTTTTCTTTCCCTAGTTTGTTTCGTATTTCGTATTTCTGCGTATTTCTGCTGTTGTTGGTGTATGGTTTTAATGGTTGATGTGGTAAAAAATTAATGTCGAAATCAGTTTGTTTGTTTATATTAAGATGCTATGAAGGATTTTGTATGCATATGTTAATTTATTCTATGATTGATGTTCCACAATCGATTCCATGAATATTGACCTTAATTAATCACCAATATTATTGTAATCTGATTAGATGCTAATCAATAATTTTAAATAAGTTAATTCGAGATTATTGATGAAAGTTATGCGACTCAGCTCCATTTCTCTATTATTTGTTAAAAAATAAAATAAAATAAAAATCGTGCGTGTGTGATTGCATATAGGTGATTTTAGTTATGGTAACTTATCCTATGATTGATGTTCGACTCAGAATGTGTTTTCGGTAGATTAGTAATTTGAATTTCTTGTAATTGGATTCTAATTGGGTAGCGTAGAATGATTTCGACAAATCATCATTATGTGAAATTGTGTGTATATATATATATGTATATATTGTGATAATCATAAGAATCACTTGTCATTTTCATTTATCTTTATGGGGAAGGTATATGCATGCTAGTACTGTAAACGACTGAGTGCAACAAATATATACTGTAAACCGAATTTACGAGTATTTATTTTTGGTTCCTACTGCTTATTTATTTTCTTGTTAGATTAATTCTCAATGTTTTCTACTGCAATTTAAAATACTCTTTTAGCTCATATACTATCTTGTGAACTAACGTTTATTGAATTTTGTCATTCAATTTTTAAATTTTAATAGAGCCGTATTTGTTGATGTGCTGCAGAACAGATAGTGCAGATCAGGCAAAGGAAACCCGTTTTATTAAGGTAAAATTTTATGTGTTTCTTCGTTAGTACAAATTGGTTTCGTATGTGCAAATCATTTGAGCTAATTGTTTGCTGCTTTTTTTTTCTCTTTTTTTTTGCAGTATTGTTTGAGTTAACAAACTGACGGGACCTCGTTCGTGGATTCTCTCTTGAATGTTTCTTCTCTTAATATATATTCTTAGAAATGCGTAAATAGAACTCGATGGTTCAATCTTATGACTTAAAGTTTAGTTATTTTCTGTGATCGTATGACTCACTACTAAAATCAAAACACTGGCAATTTAGTTAGCAGTAATATTTTTCGATATGAGAGAGAGATCTAGAGAGAGAGTGAGAGAGGTCCCTCTCTCTCATATCGAAAATCTGAGACAGGTAAAAGACACGAAGCTGAGAACGCATATAATACAACATACACCTTCCGAAGACCTCTCATTTTATTTTCCCTTTTTTTCTCCTTATTTTTTTGCACACGTACGTTTGCTGATTTGATTTTATTTCTTTCTTCTTCGGTTTTTTTCTCCTTGGACACTAACCACACGATCTGTTTTGTTTATGAGGAATTATTATTACGTACGAAGTTCCTTTCATGCATTTGCCCGTTTTCCACTCTCGGCGCACGATTCATTCTTATTCCGTAAATGGGTCGATCCCAAGAGCAGTTGCACACCATTCGATTATCATGCTTAAAGAGATCCTCCGTGCAAATCACATTAGTTGTTAATCGTGAATCAAATTCAATTTTCAGAAATACTTAAATTCCGAGATTAAATATATATTTGGCCTTAGCATTGGCTACGCGCGAGATCTCCCTGGGAAACCATGTCATAGTCTCATACCGTTGTCGGCTAGATACGAAGTTGACTCTTTATTGTGACATCGATTCTTAATAGCTTATTTTTTGGAAGTGCAGTTACCATCAGGCATATATATGTTTCTATAATATGTACTGAAGTGGAAGAATCTGTATAGTAACTGTCTGCATGCGTCCAACAATGAAGTTCAATTATTTATTATAAGTTCTAATGATCCTTCTTGTATTGTTGTTTTATCTCCGTTTCAATCGATAAATTTCTGAGTTCGTTTCGTGAGAGTCTTCTCGATATAAGATTTTTAATCAAAATGCATCTTAAGTTCGAACTCAAAAAGGAACCATCTTAAATTACTTCTTTTTGGAATTTTGTTGTTTGATGAACAATTAAATCTTATCCTTCATACATAAAAAATAACCATCTTTTTTTTTTTTTTAGGATAAATTAATTTACCTTTTTACTATTTTGTCCACCCATTCGAGCTTATTTAATTTTATTCATCACACTTGGAGTTGAAATTACACTGAAAACTGCCATTTACCGTAAAAAACAAAAAAAGAAGAAGGATTAGATATTTTTTTATGATTTTTGAAATTTCTTTTCCTGCTTATGATTAACTAATGATACAATAGTATACTTTTCTCTCTAACTTTTAATTGGACAATTTAAAAATTGTTTAGACTAGACAATTTAGAGATATTAAAGGAGTGTTAGTGTTCAATTTCCTCTGCTTTTGGATGAACGACTTAGGAGTTGGGACAAATTATTTTTATAAATTAAGACAGTGAATTGGACCAATTATATATCTTAAGTTAGATTTTTTATTATCATATTTTCTTATTTGTTTATGATTAATCTTAGATTTTTTTATTCTTGGGATATTGTTTACTGACAATTTTATTATAGGATCAACGTATGTATTTGAAAACGTAAAGCCACAAAAAATAGTAAGTCAATTTTATTTTCACAATAGGCAAACGTATATGTGTAAAATTTTATTGTTAAAATAGATACACTAATTATGATTGCAATTAGTGGAGTTTTACATTTTTGTTGTTCAATTATTTTGCTATCGTATATTTCATAGACATTTATTAATTTTGTTTATATTACATTTTTCGGTATTCCCCCGGGCAACGCACGGGGCAAAATACTAGTTAATGGTAAAAGCAATGTATATATATATATATGCAATCTTTCTAATTTTTTATGTAAGCAATTTATAGTTAATCCAATTTTGGCTAGCTACTGTTTGTTTGAAATTGTTTTAGCAGTCAAATCATATCTGGATGAGAGAGAAATTTTTGAAACTGTTGCGAAAATTATTTTTGAAAAACTTAACAAACACGAATTCGTTTCCCGTAAATAATTAAAATGAAACGGAAACGAACATTGATATTAACTTGAAAGAGCCTAGCTTGTAATTCTTTCTAGTCATCCAGCTGCACTTCATTGATGTTATAATTCTAAATTATTAAAAGAAAATACTAAAAGTTGACTCTTGATCAGTATAATTAGGGCAAATTACCAATCCCCTGAGGTATGGCAAAATTATGAAAAAATCCTTCTTGTTTGGGTAATTACAGTTACCCTTCTTCCTTTAACTATTTTTACATAAAAAAAATGTAATTCGGTTATTTATCGAACCAAATCTTTATTTAGTTCGGTAAACGGTATAAAATGTTGGCGTGCCGAAATTTCAGTTCGGTTTTACCGAATTAACATCCCTAAATTTATCTCTGGAGGGGTCTTTTTGTAAGATAATACATAGTTGAAAGGGTGACTGTAATTACTGAAATAAGAGGGAGGTTTTCGTAATTTGACCATAATTTAGAGAGATTGCTGTAATTTGCCCATATTATTAATATATTTTAATTAAATAAAATAATGACGACGATGATAAAAGTGAAATGAAGAAAAAATAGAAATACATGACCTGAATTAGTGACGTACGTACCAACACTCATTAGGAGAGTTGGTACCTAACTTTTAGCAATTGGGTAAAGGTCTAGAGTTTGAGTCTCCCCTCCCCAACTTCCCCTTATAATGGACTTGAATTTACTCAAAAACAAATTAGCGATTGTGGTGTATGTGTGGGGCCAGTGAGAAGAAGCCCATATGCAACGACTAAAAGCAGTTGTATTTGCATCATAATGGACCCTTATTTTAGGGACAATTATCCAATATTTTATTTGACGTCACCTCTTAATTAATCTTTATTTTATTTATTAATATATAAAAAGAAGTTATCGTGGGTTACTTTTTGGAGGAAACCGTAGGCCCTTTAGTGCAATTAATTATTTTGACACGTCGACATTCTCAACTCGCAACGCAATACAACTTTTTGACATTTCTCATTTCTTGAACGTCATCGTATTGTAGGTCGGGCGAACATATATTCTCCATTCGGTCAACGTAGGTCAACGTAGAGCTCGTGTGCAGTGATTCATCGCACTTTCGATCGACTCTCTAACTCGAAGTAATTGGCATGACATGTTGAACAAATAATATAGTAAATAATTCAAAAGCTTTTGAAAATATAATTGAAAACGACTTATCTTGCATGTGAATCAAATTTAGAATATATATATAAATTAAGTTGGAGTTTAAAAAATTAATAGTGCAACTTGTACAAATTAATAGTTGGCTCTTTGACTATCTCAAAAGTCAAGTAAATCATGTAGACTTACCCCTAGCCCTAGGGAATGTTTTTTCTATTGGATTTATGGGTATGAATCAGACGGAATGGATCGGAAATGTCTTTTTCGGAAAATTTTAAATTTTTTTCGGAAGTTAGAAATATGTTCCAATTTCCATTCCAAAAAATCGGAATTTCAAAATTCATTTCAATTTCGGAATACCTCGGAATTGACGGAATTTAGGAATTTTCGAAAATTGCATTAGTTCTTAATTTTTTGTTCCAAAATTGGAAATAATGGTAATTTTTAGCATTTTTTTCTTCTAATATTTTCTTAATTTTCCGGCAAAAGGCAAGAATCTAAAACAAAGGTCAATAAGAGCCAAGAGGAAATGCAAACACTTGTAAAAACAACATAATCAGTTTATCAAAGCAAACATAGTTCTTTCAAAACAAGAATAAAAAAAAACAATTTATATTTCGTAAATAAAATCAGATCGGAAATCGGAATTTCCAATAATTTTATATGTAATTCCAATTCCGTTCAAAAAATAACCGAAAAAATCGAAAGTCGGAATATCGGAAATCGAAATGAAAAAAAAGTGTTCCAAATTCAAATATTTTCGGATCGGAATTGGCGGAATTCGGAAATTTCGTTTCAATTTCCACCCCTAATTGGATTCTTTTGCTATTTCTTTTTGTCCCTAAAAAGTCAACGCAACAAATCTTTTTATACCCCTACTTTAGTTTTAGTTTTATCTGGTTAATTAGTATTATAATCATTATCTTCTTTTGGGTTTTAACTTTTAACTTTTGAACTCATAAATTAGGTGTCGATTAATTTAAGGGGCGTGATAAATGCGATTGTTCGAGCTTTAATAGTACTGTTTCAACTTCAAATGTGATTTTAGTCATTTTTTACTCTTAATTTTGCAAAAGTGGGAACGCAGAACTTGTAGTATTTTTTAGTTAGATTTTTAATTCTACGTGAATCACCAAAATTGGGTATTGTGTGAGAAAGATATACATTAATCGATAAACATTGCCCACAATTTTGATGCACAAAGTTATCTAAAATTGAAATTTAAGTCATTCATGCATAATTTTATGGCACGGCATCCAATCTAGCTGGTTTAAGTTGAATTTGAAAGCTAACTCATAGGACTACAATTTTCATGTTTCAAATTTCGCCAAAATCAAATTAGAAATATGACAAAATCAAATTTGAAATCAAAATGAAATCAACAAAATTGAAACAACATTTAATATTTCTGTTAATTTAATTATGAGAAAAACTGAAAGTGCAATTCTACTTTTAATTGCACATTTCTCAATTTATCCTTATCACTCTTAATTAATTTAATTATCTAAGGAATAATTAATGGTAAATGGTATTTTAATCACTTATATTTTTTTTTCTCCTATAATTAACGTATGTACTTATTAATTTTCTTAATTAGTACGCGTGCAGCACTTTATAACGACAAATATTTTGGCACATAAAGAGCTAACTAATGTACATTGATATATATATATATATATATATATATATATATATATATATATATATATATATATATATATATATATATATATATATATATC